AGTTTACCAGAGGGCTGGGATTACAGGTCTGTGTTGCGACACTGGGCTGTGAATTAAGCCTGAAAGACAAAAAGAGGTAATTCTTTGAGGATATTGTTGTAATCATTTTACATGATTAAAGGTAATGAGGCCAAACATGTGCTAAACATTATGAAATCAGAGATGAAAGTGTAATTATATAGTAGCTTATTAATGTTAGAAAAGAACCCTCCTTCATAAATTCTTTATTCTCTTGTGGGCTCTATGACTGGGTTGAAGAAATCAATATAAAAGCTAACAAAAGAAAAGCATCAAAATTTTACTTTTTCCTATACATAGAGATTTTCACAAGAAATGATCAACACACAATGCTTTATACTTTTCAGACAAAGAACAACAACTTTGTGAGATAAAGACAGGATAAAGGAACATATAGGTGAGAGTAGAAAATTCGGAGATATTACTAAGAGACTTAGGAGAGGGGGTGCATGTAGAAGGCAGTGGAAATAAGGGTTCCTTCAGGGTGTTCTCTTGTTGTTTCAGTTCATTGTCATCCTAATTACCCGACAGTCATTGAGACATTTTTGGTGCTGTGATGTGAAGGACTTCCTTCCCGAAAGAATCTTTACTACTTGCAGTGTGTAGGAAAACACAGGCCAAATGGCCCTTTCTTAAGTTATGGGTCTTTGTTGAAATTTTATTTTAAAGAGAAGAAACAGTAAAAACAATGATAGAGAACTTCAAAACAAGATAATAGATTAATAATGGTTAATAAGTTGCATATGGTTATCTTCAGAGTAGTTGCTCAGATTACAAGATATAAGCATGAAAATTGTTTAAACAATATAAGCACAAACCTTTTCTTTCCATTAATAGAGATTAGTAGTATAATTACCTTAGCAAGCATGTGTGTTGATATATATATATTTTTTTCCTTTTCTTTTCTCTTTTCCCTATCCTACTTGTTCTTTCTTTTTGAGCAGTTTCTTCCCATTTTACAACATCTATTGTACATTTTGAATCTTATTTAGTTTTTCAGCTTCTTACACTAAGGAGACAGAATGATGTTTACAAATGTGAGTCTGATTTACTTCACTTACAAGTACAATTTCTTTTCTTTTTTTTTTTTTTTTTTTTTTTCTTTTTTGGTACCGGGGATTGAACTCATGACCTTGCACTTGCCAGGCAAGCACCTATGCCGCTGGTCCACAGGTATGGTTTCAAGGGGCATCTATTTATCTATAACAGCTTCAAGTTTATCCATCTATACAGCTGAATAGTACTCCACTGTATAAAAATACCACATCTTTTTCACCCATTCTTCAGTTGGTGGACATTTGGGTTGTTTCTAAGATTTAGCTATAATAAATTATGCTGCTATACACATGGATGGACATATATCACTGTGGTATGACGTTTTTCATTGTTTTTAGAAGATATCCAGAAGGGGAATAGTTGGGTTGAATGTGACCTCTAATCCTAGTTTTTTGAGGAGTCTCCACACTGATTTCTACAGTGGTTGTATCAGTCTATACTCCTACCAACATTTGTTATCAGTTGATTTCTTGATGATAGCCAATCTGTCTGGAACGAAATGAAATCTTAATGTTGTTTTAATTTGCATGTCTTGAATGACCAGTAATGTTGAGCATTTCTTCATGTATTTATTTGCCATTTGTATTTCTTTATCTGAGAAGTGTGTATTCATATCACATGCCCATTTTTGGATTGAGTCTTTGAATTCAGGAGACCTGATTCTTTTCAATTCTTTATATAGTCTAGATAGAAATTTTTTGTCTGAGGGGGAGTTGGCTAAAAATTTTCATATTCTGTGGGTTTTCTTTTCACTCTGTTGGTGATTTTTTTTGAAGTGAAAAACTTTTTGATAAGATGAAATCCCAGTTGTTGAGTCTTTGAAATACTTACTGTGTAGATTGTGTTTTGTTCATGAACTCTTTGCCTACTCCTAGATCTTCAAGATTTCTACCTACTTTCTCTTCTAGTAGATTTAGTGTTTCTGTGTTAATATTTAGATATGTGATCCACTTTGCTTTTAGTGCATGGTAATAGACATGAGTCTAGTTTTAGTCTTAGATATGTGGAAAGCCAGTTTTTTTTAATTAAAGAGGTTATCTTTCTTTTGTGAAAGTATTTTTGGCATCTTTGTCAAAGATAAAGAGGCTGAGTATGTTTCTGGCCATGTCTGCATCTTCTAACGTGTTCCACTAATCCTCAGGTCTGTTTTTTTGCTGGTACCATAATGATTTTATCACATTAGTTTTATAGGATAATTTCAAGTCAGGGATTGTTGATACTTCTTGGCTTGCCTTTGTTTCCCAGGATTGCCTTGGCTATTCTAGGTCTCTTCGGATTCCAAATGAATTTAGGAATGTTTTCTCTAGATATGTGCGGTGTGTTAATGGTATTTTGACTGCGACTGCATTACATCAGTATAACAATTTTGAGAGTATGGCTATTTTCACAATGTTGGTTTTTCCTATCCAAGAGCAAGGAATATCTTTCCATTTTCTAATACCCTCTTCAATCTCCTTTTTCAGAGCACTATTGTTTTCAGTATGGTTGTTTACTTCCTTTGTTAGATCGCTTCCTAAGTATTTCATTTTGTTGAATGCTATTGTGAAGGGGCTGTTTCCCTAACTGTGTCTCAGTGAGTGTGTTGTGTGTACATGAATGCTATTGATTTTCGAGCATTGACTTTGTATCCAAGTATGCCAATGAATTTGCTGATTAAATCTAGAAGTCTTTTGGTGGAGTTTTTGGGGTCTTCCACGTAGAGTATCATGTCATTCTCAGACTTCTTTCTTTCCTACCCTTAATCCTTTTATTTCTCTCTCTCTTATCTAATTGTTCTGGCTAACATTTCCAGAACTGTATTGAATAGTTTTGATAGTGGATATCCTTGTCTTGTTCCTGATTTCAGAGTGAAAGCTTTCAATTTTTGTCCATTTAGTATGATGTTGGCTGTTGGTTTTGTCATAGACTGTTTTTATCAGATTGACACAAAGACCATCTATTCTGATTTTTTGTAGGTTTTTATCATGAATGAGTGTTGGACTTTGTCAAAAGCTTTTTCTGCAGCCTTTGAGATGATCATGTGATTTTTTTCTTTGGTTTGTTGATATGGTGTATTATGTTTATTGATTCATGAATGTTGAATCAACCATGCATTCCTGGGATGGACCATTTGGTTATGATGTATAATCTTCTTGATGATTTGCTGCATTGTTTGCTAATATTTTATTAAAGATTTTTGCATCTATGTTCATTAGGAAGATTGGCCTACAGTTCTCTTTTTTGGTTGGGTCTTTCTCTAGTTTTGCTATCAGGGCAATATTTGCCTCCAAGAATGAGTTAGAGAGAATTGTTTCTCTTTCAATTTCATTAAAGAGTTTGAGGAGTATTGGCATTAATTCTCTAAATTTCTTGTAGAATTAGCTATGAATCCAACGGGACCTGGGCTTTTCTTTGTTGGTAAGGTTTTAACTGTTTTCAATTTCATTAACTGATATAGGGTTATTCAAAAGTTTTATATGAGGTTCTTAAGTGATTTCAGATTAAAGCAATCAATGTATAATTTGGTATATTTTAAGACGTTGGATCATTAACTGTTTCAAAACAATATTTGCAGAGCTCTTACTATTTATCAGATACTGTGCTGGACAGTTAGGTAGAGTAGACAGGAAGATGAATGGCATGTCTCCTGAAGGCATACACACTGTAGGGGGGACAGCAAAGGGAAGAACAGGATAGGATGTGGGGTGGGTGGAACCAGAAGGGGTGGATATTGGGAGAACCTGTTGGAATCCCTGGAGTCACAGTGGGAGTCTTTGGAGGAGGTGGATCAGAGAGCAGTATGCCTGGACCCAGAGAGGGGATGAGCCAGAAAGTTGTTGCACTTACACTGAGTGTTTAGTACCAGTTAATTTGAGTTGTTACAAGCGCTGCATTACGTGAGTTGCTAAATGTAAGACTGTGTGGATCCTGTGAAAACCAGACATTATCCTCTAGTGGACCCTGGAAAAAAGTGATAGTCCTGCTTGAGGCTGATTTGTATTTGTCCCGTGTTTCCTGCTTTAGATATCTGTGCTTAGTGGCTAGCTCACTGTCAGCAGTTGCAGTTAGTTGGAATACAAATTCTTAAGACTACATAGCATAAGGCTTTGTTAGAGGAGTGGCATTTAGCTTATTACTCTGTACAGTCTCTAATGCACTAACAAGTGCTCTGACCCAGCAAACTGCAAAGGAAAATTAAATAGATAATTAGATTTTCAGCAATTGGAGAAATACTTTGCTGAGCTTTCTTCACATAATGGAAATGTATTAGTAACTAGAAATTTGTAGTTTTTATCAAGATAAAAATCAGTTTATTTCCTTGAATACTTTAGTTTTGTTTTGCTTTGTTTTCTCTCTCCTCTTACGAGGCAATTAGCTGTATAGGAAAAAAAATTTGGTCTATTTTGCTCTCCAGCATTTTGTACAGTTCAAATCTAATACATACGTGCACTTAATGAGCACTTGCTGAATGCATGCTATTGAATACATAAATGTCAGTTCAGAAACACAGCACTCAGAATAGTACATATTACAGACTATTATAATTCAAAAATGGTGAAACTTTTTTAACTACAAAGAAATTTCTCTAGTATACATTGAAGTTAGCACAATGTAAGTGATTTTACAGCTAGCCTTCCAATCTTACCTGATTTTTATGTTTAAACTTCTGTCTGGGTCAGTTTTCTTACCAAAATTTATTCAAAAATTTGTTTTACTTATCAAAACTTAACTGAATAAAGTTTTTTTTGTTAAAAATCTGAATCAATGGAAACTTACATACGTCATTTTAAATGTTATTTTTTAATTGATTGAGGATTTCACTCCATGGGAAAATATGTGTGCATTTGCAATTGACTGCTGGGATGTTCCACATGCTAAGAAAAATGATGTATTGCAATTTTTGTAATTTTTCAATAACTCTTTAAAACTTCATTTTTCTTTTTCAGAATTCTTTTTCCCGCCAGTGTGGAAACATTCTAGTCCAAGAGTCTGGAAAATTTAACCTTGTGATCTAGTGTGGAAAGGTGTTCTTTTCTGCCTGGAGTATACCAGTCACTTCAATGGTTGGAGTTTCCAGAAACTTTATTTCAAGTCTCAAAAATCTGAGTTTTAGCAGCAGTATAATGGCTGGCGCTCTTCTTTAGTCTGACTTGTGGGTGTCTGGGTGACATCATCTCTATTTAGGAAAGATGGGATCCAGGAATGCATCAGCCTTTGGCGGCGGCGACCTACTGGCTTAAGTTTACAAAGCACTTAGCAGCAGAGGGAACACTTAGCAGCAGGATACACTATTGCCTCTTCCTAGCATTCCTGGTGCCCACCGGCCCAGGCCCTCGCTCAGCGGACTACTTGGAAGCCGCGCGAGCTGCCCAGGCCCCTACCTGGTCAAGATCTGCACCACAACTCCCCGCTGTCACCCGTCGCCTGAGAAAGGAAAGAGAGGCCGGGGACAGAATCGCGCTGACACCGACGGGTCACTGGGATTCGCGCTGCTCCGCTCCACCCCCCCCCCCACGTCCCCGCCCTTCAGATTCTTTCATCGGCCGCCGCCCTGGGAGGCTTGTCCCTAGCCGCCCGCCGTAGCCCAACCGGCTGCCGTTCTCAAGATGGCCGCGGCACGCATCGCTCCTGCGGCGGGCTAGAAGCGGAGGCGGAGCCGAGTCACTCCTGCACTCAGGGCTCGGGTCCTAGGCGCCAGGCTGCAGCTTATTGCCTGCCGCGGCCATGCAGGGCTCTGTGCACGGATGAGGGAAGCCGTCGACGAGCTGGTCCCCCCTCCCGCCTTCGCCGTCACCCCTGCCGCCGCCATGGAAGAGCCGCCGCCACCGCCGCCGCCGCCGCCGCCGCAGGAACCTGAGCAGGAGTGCAGCCAGGCGGCGAGGTGAGTGCAGCTGTGCAGCCGCTGGCTGCCGGAGCTCGATCGGGGGCTGAAGGGGCTTGGGGGGTTCTTTCTTTCAGGTGGGGAGGACGCATCCAAGCTTGGCAGCTGCGGAAGGGGCGCGGTGCAACCCTAGGAGCCGGTCACCGCGACAGCGACCTCTGTTCGGGTCGCGCGCCGCAGGGTCTGCCGGAGTGTGCAGCCCGGTGTCCCAACCTGCAGGCTAGTTCTGGACTCATTGAGGGCCCTGGGGACCGGGAGCCCAGCGCAGCACTTTTGCAGTGAGCTTCTGGAGCACTGGAATTCCTCATTTCTTTACTGAACGGAGGTGGTCTCTCACTCTGACCCCCCTCGAGGAAAGAAGACTCGCGAAGTCCGAGCACCCTAGCTTTTGCCCCGCATCGTCCTACCGCTCCCCCCTCCCCCCGTGTCTGTTGTCTCTCTGGGGGAGAAACAGCACTTTAGACTGATCAGATAGACAGGTTGCTTTCTCTTTCTGAGGGCCCTGTACAGTACTGTCCTTTAGTAGTAGCGTTGCACGTGCATATAAAGTAAGGGTTGATTTGTCTAAAACTTCGCTATGCAGGAAATCTTAAGATGGAACTTTCGTACTCAAAGTATTCAGCTGCATTTTGCCTCTTAGAGATCGTGTTAATTACTTTTTTATCTTTATTTTAAACTAAAAGCTTTCCTCTTAGATGCTTACGCTTGAATGTTCAAATACTCTATTACTCCTAGACCCTCTGCATCCTAGAGGCAACTTGCAAATTGCTGCCCCCTGTCCCCTATGATGAAACTACTTATACAGCTTCTCCCGTCCTGCGATCTTGCTTTGTATTGATTGGTTCTAGGAATAAATCAACTAAGTGTCCTTTCTTTTTCCTGTTTAAAGAAGTTTTAAATAAATCTGAGGTTGCATTCTCCCTTGTCATAGCTCAGTCGGCCCGAACGCATTTATTTTTATAAGCTGTGAAAAAAGTCATTGCTTTACTTTCTCAATTCTAAAATACTTCTGTGAACTTTTAAAAGTTTTTCTGAATAATGGTAGAGTGTGTAAGGAGAATTTCTTTTGAATTCATGTAACATTTCTTAGAAATTTTGTCACAGTTTATTATGTAAATTTAATAAATTTAGTTTTGAACAGTTTTGGCTCCTTTGAATTTTTTAAAAAAAATTTTGAATTCTTATTAAATGCTTAAAAGCTTAGCACTTATAAAATTACTGCTAGTAATTCATTTAACCTTTACAACAACTATGCAAGATAGGTCCTATTATTATCTATCTTTTATGAACAAGGTAACTTAGGCACAAAGGTTAAGTATCTTGTCTGGAGTTTCACAGCTCCTAATGAACAAAGGTCTGGTTGTGCATTCCATGCCTTAATTATCATGGGATGTGATTTCATTCTGTATAGATTAGAAATTATAATTTTATATAACTTCTGGGAAAAAATGAACATTTTTAGGTAAAAGTGAGAAGGGCAGAGAAATGAAAACGTGCTGCAAGTGCGAGTGCTTTTGCAGTGACAAAAACAAACCTTGATTTTGCAGCCAGCTTTCTGTCTGTCTTTGTTATAATAAAAATAGGTCAGGGTAATGGGCTTCATCCAACATTAAGTGAACAGCAGTGTACAGAACAAGAAGATCTTAAAAATATTTTTCTTAGCAACATTGCAGTTAATTTTACAATAGCAAATCTGTGAAACAGATTACTTGGTAAACCTATTGTTTTGTTTCTTTTATGCTTTCATCGTCATCATTTTTTCAATACACAGAGCTGACTTCTGACAGTCTTACTTTAGGTCTTTGGTAAAAGATGTTGTGGGGGTTCTTCAGTTGTCTACTTGAATTTCTTTTATATTTTTATTGTTATGTTTAACCATCTAAAAGAAGTCCAATGTGTACTTTCAAAATGTGATAACCTGAAACCTTTTAACATGCTGGAGACCAATAATATGATCATTTGTGATATCAGGTTAACTGGTTTTGCAGCAAACCCAAGTAAAGCTGTTCTGCCACCTTATTGATTAGGAAGGTTGTATTGATGCGCAGTAGACTTCAGGCCTGTACATGTTGATCTCCAAAGCTGTACTGCAATACACCACTGCAGCAGATGCCAGGCAGCCAGTACATCTGCTCTCTGTGTGCTTTCCTCCCCACGCCAGAGTTATGCAATGATTGAAGAACACAAAACAGGTTGAGAGGTGGTAGTACTTTATTATGCTTTTATTGCTTATTGTCAGTTGTGGATACTTCTTGTCCTTATTTTTGGTGAAGAACTCAAGGTGAGTGTGATGGTTGTTAGTGATTAAGTGTTGTAATAAACATTCCTTATTTCTGTTTTATGCTTCTGGGTCAGTTAGTAGAGTCCAGTAATTGCCAGACGAGCTATGAGCACTAATTTGAACAATTTACCTTTGTAATTTCTTGGATCTGTGCCCTTAAAAAAATAAATAAACTGAATATTAAGTCTACTGTAACCTTTCATTTAAAATATTTATATTAAGTAGAGCCTTATTGCTCTTACTGATCTTGTAAGTACATACCAGTGAATCTTACCAATAGCTTGTTTTTAAGCAATGTCTGTTACTTTATGTAATGGGGTTCTTGTAAGTTCAGTTGAATAATGGTTTCACTAATAAAATACCACCACTAAATACCACCACTCAGAGACCCTTTAATCTCTCAGTTTGAATGCCCGGCTTGAGCCTGCTTATTCCAGTTTGACATTGGATGTTACTATCATCAGTCTTGTGGAGCTCCAGAATGACCACGGTAGTGGTAGCTTTAGACAGAAATGATCAGTTGCCTGACAGCAGTGGCAAAAAGCTCTAGTGGTGGCAGAAACTTCGTGTTTTGAATTGGGACAACTTTGACTGGACGCTCTTGTATTGTTAGAAGTTGCTCCTTTTCCTTGTCATGAGTTTTCTTGATGTCTTACAAATCTTGTTCTGAGCTTTACAAAAATAATGGGAATATAAAAGTCTTTACTACTTTCTGGATGTTTGCCTTAATACCTTCCTATTACTTAATAATTCCTCATTACTCAATGATTATCTTTATATTTACAGTGTTCTCTTGTCTGTCTTTCCATTTTACCAGGTCGTATGTGTTTTGTTTAAAGACTTTAAGATTGCCTATCAGTTGGCTGCTGAAGATAGTTTCTTTAAAGAGAAGAGGATGGTTGACCATTCTAAGGCTTCCTAGGTTGGCATCACATCATATGAGCAAGGTGCAGGTGCTGAGCCTCACCTTCTCAGGCACAGCTGCTCAGCTTGGTCTGTGATAGATTGGTCAGCATGTTCTCTTGTCTGTCAAAAGCCAAAGTATAATTAAGAGATTGGTTGGTAACTGTGGCATTAGTAAGGGAAATGACTTGAATCATCTTAGTGACTAATGGTAACAGACCAGAGTGGTTGGCTTGCATTCCTGTCCAGCACAGCCCCCACTTCTAGTATGATAGGGAGATAGTTTTACTCCTAGGTTTTCATTCTTCTAGTCTTTGTTACACAGGCTGCTTTTTTCCACCTTGTTATGACTGTCCCTTGGTTGGGTTATAGTGTATTTTTAACCTTAAGATTTTAATTAGATTATGATAAACATTTCTTTTCCTACATTAATTTGGGGGATATTCTTGTTCCTTAAAGAAATTTAAGGAAACTTTCTGTGGCAGGATATATTTTACTAATGTAAGACTCAAAGGAACATCATAATCCCCGCACTTCCCATGAAAAATCCTTTGGCTTAGTTCCTGAAAATGGTATGGCACAGTTGTCAGTGGTTAGTGCTTTTGTGAAATTCTTTTTGAAAGTTGTGTTCAAAAAATATTACCATGGTAAGTTGTTTTCTGAGTTTAAACCATAACATTAAGTTGAAAAATAATTACAGTTCTGTGCAGCTATTAAAAGTACTTTTTTAAAGAATATGAAATTACTCATGCTAAAAGTCTTTTAGGAGAACCTGAATATTTAAAAAAAAAAATTCTCAAGTGCTTTTACTCTAGAACGTACCTTTCATTGTGTTCAGTGCCTGAAGCAGATGACAAAACAGTATTTGTATAAGATGCTGGCCTAGATTTGTGGTGCTAAGCTCCTGTGTCTCTACAGTGCTGTCACAAGTATCCTACCTCCCTGTCTTCCCTTGTCCCCATTGGAAGTATCTTTTTGTTGATTCTAGCTTATAATATAAGTTGAAGCTGCTCTCTCTCTCTCCACATAGACTCCTGACTGTAGGCGTAGACCTTTGACCCATACCAGAGCATTAGGGTTCTTTACTAGGATTTTTCAGATTGGAGCCGGGGGAGAGAAATGTACATTTTGAAAATTGAAATATAATCTGTGAAGCCAAAAACCACAAACTAGTTACCTAAAATTGTGGTCCCTTTCAGAGAGAGGTTGTTTGGTCTCAGGTAGTGATTTTTAAGTGCCAGAGGAAAGCAGGCTGAAAGAAGTCTTTGGTCAGTCACTTGTCTTTTTTGCTAGATTCATTCTCATTTCTTTCTTGATTTGACATGTGCATGAACATATTCTCTTATTTGTTCTTAAATTATTAATTTGGTAGAGCTTCTTAAAATCTTAATCATATTATTCCATTATAAAAAGTGTGCATAGAAAAAAATTGAAGGGTCATGTGCTATTTTTTTCCTAAAAATTTTTTTATAATATACTGATTTTTAAAAAAATAAATAGCTAATTTTAGGGACCAAATTCTTAACTGGTAAACTTATAATTTTAAATCTCTTTAGTTTGAATTACTATTTAAAATTGAAATTTGATGAGATTCCATGTGATACTTGAACTGAATATTCACTTCATCTTGGGTAACAAAAATGTAGACTAGAAAAAGTTTCAATAGTGACAAAACAAAGTTTTGCTTTCTGATATTTAAAAAATTTCTTTAATTTTAAAAGCAAAAAAAAAAAAGAATAAAGAAAGATGATACAGAATTTCAAAACAGAATAATAGGAGACTAACACTGGTTAATACATCGTGTATTGTTACCTTT